ACAGTATGTGGAAAATAATGTGTTTTTTTTACTTTAAACCGCATAAACACATTGCATTACACCAAATACACAAAATAATGTTCTTTTTAGCAACCTCATATGACCCAATTAAGATATTTTTGATGGAATCTGAGAGCTCTCTGACCCTCCATAGACAGCAAGGATATTACCATGATCAACACACAGAAATGTAGCAAAGACATCGTTAAAATAGTCCATGTGACATCGGGTTTAACCGTAAGTTTACGAAGGTACGATAATACTTTTTGAGCACAAAGAAAACAAAAATAATGACTTTTTTCAACAATTCTTCTCTTCCTCATCCTCGGAACACTTTCGAGACAGATTTAAATCCGATCGCACAGATCACTTTAGGAGGAGGTCTGGGTGAAACTGATGACAAGTCAAATTCAGATGAAACTGGACAAGTGTAAATGCATCTGCTTGTTGAAATCACATGTGGAAATTTTACTCCTCCCCAAATGTTAAATAATAAACGTGAGAGAGCATGTTATAGGCTATATATGTTATAGTTAGACGTGACAGTGCTAATGCAACACACATCGCCGCGGATGAGTATCTGAGTATCTCTTCAGTAAGCAGACACACAAACTGATGCAAATTAAACTGAAAGAAAGTCACAGACACGCAACACACAATCTTATCTTTCCAGTGCTGATGCCGTTCTCTTATTGCGATCTTCTAGATTTTGTAATTAGCTGATAATGAATAAAATGCAGCGCTTATCTTTTGATTTCGTTGAGGTGAACTCTTTTAAATTTGCATATAGCATGGAATTGAAGATTGGATTTATATCCGTTTTGCAAAGACACGTTTATGTGGCCAAGTGTAAATGAAACCGTTTTGACAAATCAGATAGATATCCGATCAGAGAAAACACATGAAGTGACCAGGTGTAAACAGACCCTTATATTTATGACACTAAACTGACTATTATTTCCTACATCGCTGTTCTCATTTCATGACCTCCCAGCTGATTGAATGTTATCACTTACATAACTCACTTCTTGTTTCTGGTTTCACGTATCTGTATCTGGCAGAAGACAGATGGGAGAGTAATACAGATGAACGGAGAAAGACAGAAAAGATAAGAATGTCGTCTGTGTTGCTGCCGCACCTGCAGACTGAAAAACATGAAACTGTTTCCAAACTGCAGAAACACACAGAGCTCCTTACCAAGATCTGTTTAGTTTCTTCTCACTGAGTGACAGAATTTCCTGATTTAAATGTCGGACACACTTTCCAGTGTGTGTGTTATACTCACACACAGACGTCAACAGAACTGTCGGCTCTTCCAGCCCTGATTGGTTGCGTCTGCGGTCGGCAGCCAGCGAATCTGACACAAAAAACTGGAGTCAGATCATCTGCATCACCATTTCTGTTCACATGCACAGGTTTGCAGCTCACCGGCTTTAGAAACAGAGGGTGAATAGTAATTTATAATCCTTTCCAATAGCGAGTACAACTGGTAAAGGACACACTTGTACTTTAGCAAACCAGGATGCCACTACTGGGCTATGACAGCATATCATTCACTGTAATTAGCATCTTTACTAATGTTCGACTGATCTGGTTTTTTAAAGGCTGATGCTGATATCTTGGAGAGCAGAGTGGATGATGGTCAATATAAAGCTGATACTAAAACACTTTTAAATCATTCGTGATCAGTTTGAGAAGCCCTTATCTGTAACACTTATTTTTATTTTTTTATTTTTTTTTTTTTCCACAAATAAAGAAATTGTAGAAAAATGAAATAAAGTAAACTCATTAGCCTTTATATCAGACCGTTCTTTAATGAAACTGGTACTTGACGGCCAAACAGAAAAACTTTCTGGTGAATCTGATAATTAAAAAATGCCTTTCAACCATTAATCTTTATAGTGCAGATGCATTTGTTCAAAGGGGACATTGGATGCAAAATTTACTTTTACATGGTGTTTGCATATAAATGTGTGTTAGCAGTGTGGACACAACCACCCTACATTGATAAAAATCCAATTAACTCCTTTTTTAATCCCCAAAAAACCTAAGCACTATCAATTATCAAGCCGTTTTGATGTTCAGAGCAGTATGACATCATACTGCTCAGGCCCCGTCCACACCCGCTGACGGACTGTCCCGTATTAGCATATCTCCGCCCTCAGCCAGTTGTACGCTGTCTGCGTTTTCCTCCGCGCTTGATCAGCTGATAACAGTAGAGGTGTGGTCGGCTTGAAGTGGCACTGTGTAGTCCGATTGGTGTTTGGCATCAAAGTGAGAGCGATACAGAGCAGATGACTTCGAATTGCTCTTGCGGTACTTTAATGTCAACCACCGATCGGTCTGCGTAGCGCCGCTTCCAGTCGAACACACCTACTGTCTCGTAAGCAACGCAGGTGTTTGTAGTTAGACGTAAAAATGAACATAAGAGTCTTCATTTTGTCCCGACATGAGAGCCACTGAGGACGCAGTGGATTGTTTTGTTTTTGATGGTAACTCGCCACCAAATACACAAAAAACGGAAGAGAGGGGCGGGGCGAGCAGCAGCTCATTAGCATTTAAAGGAACATGCACTGAAATGGCTTGCTGTGAACAGAGCTGTTTTTGACAAGGCAAAAAGGGTGTTGTTTTACATGACCATCGAGGAATTGTAACCAGAATGTTTTGTAGACATTTCCTGAAGACCCTAAAGAATCATACCAACTTGTGGAAATTGGGCATCTGATGTCCCCTTTAATAAATTAGCAGCATTCACGCCCCACAGGTTTATGACCCTGCTGAGTGTGTACACTGCAGTGTGTTTGTGGGAAGCTGTGTAATGCAGGACGGTGTGTTACCTGAGCGTGCAGCGAGGAGCTGTAGGCGTATGCCGGTGGAGGCAGCTCAGCGGGGTACAGCGGGTATGAAGCCCACACCTCAGGACTGCTGGCGTACAGCGCAGGAACGCTCAACTCATCTGCACAAACAGCAGGAGACCGTGAGTTTGCTGTGTGCTGCATTGTGCCTTAAACTTCCCAATCCATACAAATGAGTCTTAGCAGGACAGTCCCACCATTGTGTCCATGTGGACAACAGCGCAGGTGATTTGATCCTCAGAAACTAAAGGCCCACTAGGTGGAGCGCATGTGTCCACACTCACAGTCATTGGAGAATATCTGAGAAGCTCGCGCGGTGCACACGACAGAGCGACACACTGACAATGAATACAGGCTTCAGGAGAGCTGAACTGATTTCCAAGGGAGCATTTTTCATTCATCTGAGGTGTCTGAGAGCCGTTCACACAAATTATTTTATATGTGTAGGTCCTAAACCAAAATCAAATAAAGAGTGATGACACATGTGTGTTACAGAGGATTATGGGTACAAAATCTGGTTGTAGCACATGAATATTAATTTGATCATGCTACCATTGCATGGTGAACTTTTCCTCCTGACAGAGGAGTAAAATGTATTGGAAGTCAGTAGATAGATCTCAGGGCCTGTATTCACAAAACATCTTAAGGCTAAAAGTAGCTCATAACTTGCTGATTTAGGAGAAAATCTTAAAAATAATGTGCGTGTCAGTCCTAAATTTAGGACTCCTACATTTTTGTTTTAGGAGTATTTCACAAAGCGTTTTAGCACTAAAACTAGCTCCTAAATCTGGGAAAGGTTAGGAGCAGTGAAGAGGACTCCTAAATCACTAAGATCAAGCCACAAACTATCCTAAAACATCTGTTGCTGGCAATCTGCCTCTGAACGTACACATTTTAGAAACATTTGATGATAATGAGCTTTTAAAAAGGTATATCGCCTTAATCGCGGGGGTATTATGACTGTTGTAGAACTTATCGGGGACAATTTTCCTTTGATTATATCCTTGTTTTTATTAAGCAGCTGGGCAAGAAGAAACAGCTGTGCTTGTGTCCAGTTTGGTTTTCTTTTACGTTTGCATGTCTTACCATCAGCCATGGTTATTCTACTCTGTTAATTAAAAGGCTGTTTATATGCATATTCACTAACAGTGTTGGGGAAAGTTACTTTTAAAAGTAATGCATTACAATATTGCGTTACTCCCTAAAAAAGTAACATCTCAGGTTACTTATGTAACCATGGTTCCCTGAGTAGGGAACGAGACACTGCGTCCTCTAGGGGTCGCTATGGGGAACGCCTCGTCGTGACCCGTGTCTGAAGCATACATTGAAAAAACACCAACTCGTTGGCCGGCGAGTGCGCAAAGCTTAACGTGTGCACTTACCATAGTATTTGGATTTAGAGTTTTCCAAGCATCTGTTTGCAGATACCTGGAAGTACTGGGCCAAACGGGAGAGGCAAGCTCAAATACAACCCTCAAAGGTGAGGGGAGCACTGCCCAAGACAGCATTCACACAGGAAGGTTCTTGTAATGCCACCTATGCCTCCCGCTCAGCAAGAAGGGATGTCCTGGTGATCGGGAAACCCCTCAGGGCGATCCAGATACGGTAGACCCGTCAGGGTAGCATGAAAGGGTAACCCCAGCCCGGACATCCAGGAAATTTTTGCAGTGACGTGCCGGGGGCCTGATGATCACGAAGGCTCCCGCAGAAGCCTCTGACCTGGCCGCATGGTCCAGGAAGTATAAAGCCAGTACCAGGGCTATCATACCGGCTGGACACAATATCGACGAGTGAGGTAACACTGCAAGTCGAGCACCTGGTTTCTGAATCCAGCAAAGGTGTGCTCACAGAGGACCTACCTTAGAGAGGACAGAA